AAAGTAGATAGATGAGCAAAAATGCGTCTAGCTATGTGAGCATGTAACACATGAATGATATACGAAAGTATAACGCCATTAATATATAGACTCCTCTTAGGGGTGGGCAAAAATACCGAAATATCGGTATACCGCACTTACCGTACCGAGAAATACCGGCAAATACCGAAATATTGGTATACCGTCATTTTTGGTACGGTATCATACCGTACCGATCTCTTTCGGTACGGTAACGGTAAATGTTTTCAAATACCGCGGTATACCGATATAATACCGTACCGACTCCCTACTCAACAATTATTTTTAATTCTAATCTATACTAATATAAAAAGGGAAACCAGTAGAATAACCGTTTCCACTTCAAAAGTAACGACCGATCAACCATGGAGGCATCCTTATACTATATACGTGGTACGAGTATATAGTAACGTTTCCGCCTGGCTATATGTAATACAGTACGTTTGCAGCACACGAGTGGACACGACTATTTGCTTACCTTTAATTGAAATTACGTAACCAAACGTATGGTCGTGTTTAATCGTTCATTAGAGGGTTCCCACCCACAAACTTCCATTGAAATCACTTAAATCAACTCTCAAATAACATCTTTAATCATATTTGATCATGTGGCCATGATTCCGTGAAAAGAAAAGTGACTGAAAATAAGAAAAACGGGTGAAAAAAATATGAGCAAACAAAATAAAAACGGTAATAATTAGCCTACGAACACTTTCCAGATCATTCTGTTATCGTTAGAAATAATCCAGGTGGCACTAATGTTAAAGCAAATGTTTCAATGTGTTCATAATGAGGGCACCTTTCTTTTCAATTGCAGTGTATATTTTTCTTTGTTATCACACAATGAACTTGAGAAGGCTACGTACTGGCATGGATCGGATTGTGAACAGCGAGAGAAGCCACGATGACTCCAGGGTGGTAACATTCTCACTGCTGCAGCTGTGGCTCAGTCAAGTAATTTGTTCGATCTTTTTTAATTCTTCATACCTTCAGTTTAGGCTTGAATACAAATTAAAGATGTCCATGGCATGTGTAAATCAGTGAATGGCAAATCTCTTGGCCTACGCAAGTACGCATTATAAGATCTAAACAAAATTTATACGGAGTACATTTATAATGATCAAGACAATCATTTTTAGATGGTAAGGTGTTTACTCTTATGATTCAAACATCTTTATAGGATTCCTGTTTGGATATAATGGATTCAAAACAAAAAACTTTTGTTTTATTGTTTGACAAGTTTGGATGTTGAATCACATAGGATAAAATGAATGGATGTCGAACGATCTCTGGAATGGAAACCATAATAATTCCAAAGTAATGTTGAGCCTACAAATGTCATCAACTCTTAAAGGAGTTTTAAATACTACCTCGGTCCTCTTTTTATTTAGCCATCTTTGACTTTTTCAATCAAAAGTGATAAACTTTGATTTATTATTTTAACTAATATATTTATTTGAAATTTAATAAATTTATACTTTTATGATAGTATTTTAAACAAAGAACTTTTTCATATAATTTTCATATTATCAATATTACCGTGTATAAATATATAATCGGTCTAACTTGAACAAGTTTAACTTGAAAAAATGTGTTTGGCTAAATAAAAAAAAGATGGGGGAGTATTTTTTTAGTATTTTTTCCAATTAATAATCAATTGATTGATACGAGTATCTTTTTAGATAGGAAAACATATACTCCGTATACACGTATTAACCACACACAATTGTTTCTTTGAAAATGATTTGTTGTTTTAACTTGAAAATTTTCTAAATGCCGGCAACGAATATGAAGAGATGTTAAATTTGGAATAAATCCATTTTTTAAATTTATTTACAAAAAGTAAAACTCCTACCGTTAAACTGCAATCCAGGATGCTAAATAATTTCGAGTCATTGAGATATGAGATTTTTAAATTCTGATTGTGATTAAATAAAAAATTGGATGAACTTTTAACATATATGATACGTATAGGTTGACGTTGTCCCGCCGATAAATTAGCAAAACCTATAATGTATCCGTAAAGTTTTTAACGGTTCGGTTCAGTACGGTTCTAAGATTGGTATCAGGCCACTCACTACCATGTCATTAATTGTTCACAAGTATTTCTATTAGTTATTAGTTGTTCTTGATCCTTTAATTGGAATAAAAAAGTTATTTATTACTTATTGTGTTTTTCTTGAGTAGTTTGTGAAATTTGTCTGCCCGTTCATCCTTTAATGCGTAGCATTTTTTTCTGTATGTATGTATTTAGCATTTCGTATAACAACATATATGAGGTATGCATGTGTCTCCTCTTATTATATACAAGTATGTCAAAATATTTATTTAAAATTGTTAGAATGGATATACGAAGTATCTTACACTTATATTTGAATATGTATTTATTGTAATGTATCTTATGACAAAAATATTAGTGTCCCGTGCATCGCACGCACGGTACAATAACTGTTCCCGCCGGTTGACATCGTATGAATACCACGTGCGAAATAAGTGTACCGATTACGTGCCAAAAAATACGTAGTTTATCTATTCAAAACTTTCAAATAACAGACCAATTAATTAATTAATATTAAACGGAAATCACCTGCACGTTAAATCTTTATCTTAACCACTGGAAAGGTGGCAGTTTCCACTTTCCACTACTCTTAATTTTCCACTATAATAGCATATTAGCAAAATCAGTTCAAAAATCATTGAACTGATGCATATATAAAATCGGTGTATAAAATACTTTTCAATTTATACTCGCATGACATGATTACTTTCTGAGTAGAAGGCCGGGGCATGGATATCATGGATACCGCGGTTTTTGGATAGACAGCTACATGTTTGCTTGGTGTGCCGATGCATGGACATTATGGATGTCGCGGCTTGGGCACTTGGTAAACCGTGGCGTGGACATTATGGATGTCGTGGCATGAAGCATGGTCTTGGATTTTATGGTGTTTTTTTCAGCGGGACCTTTTGTAACTATTATTTCCGGTGGATTTTTAAAGCGTGTAATTTCTTTTTCTCTGTAAATTCAACGAAATAAGTGCATTATTACATTAGCACTTTGCTTCAAGAGTTGATGATTAATACAAAAGTATATGTATACCGTGCGTCGCACGGGTACAATACTAGTATATTGTAGAAATTCATTACAATTTTGAAGCCCAAAATTAATATTTAAGTTGGTTACAAATACAAAAATACAAAAATGAAGGCACAATTTCTCAAACCCACTATAACCTTATAGACTTCTACTACGCTAACCTTAATGACTAATGAGTAATGAGTAATGTACAAATGTCAAGAAACAAATTCATCTTGTTTAAAGAGCTTGCAAGTCGTGATGGCTCGACTGCTAAGTAGCTGACGAGTGAAGAGAGATACACTTATGTGACTAGTGTATCTACATAGGGATTCCGCGACTCGAGACACACAACTTTGTCCGAAAGTCTTATTGAATTTTAAAAAATTATAAAAATAACTAAATACACAATATCATATTAGGAATAAATGATTTTATATCTATATTATTTGAATAGTTTTATTTATTTTTGTTAGAGATCACTATTGATTTAATTATATCTATAATTTTCAAGTTATTTTAGGAGAATGTGTTACTTTTTAATATGTGGCATGTTGAACTGCTTAAATATACTGATAATAATTATTGTTCAATATTGAATTGACATCAATAGATTACTAATTGTATTTTGTAACATATTAATAATAGATTTAATATGTCGCTAGTAATAACGATTTAGTATATTTCGTTAGTCTATGATAATTTTTTGTATTGGGAGACATGCACGGTAATTTACCGATACCGTACCGTTACCAAACCGAAACTTCGGTATACCGAAATGCGGTATACCGAAACTTCGGTAAGGTAAAGGTATGCAAATTTTGTATACCGAAAGTTTTGGTACGGCAAAGGTATGAGAAAAAATATAAGGTATACCGTACCGAACCACCCCTAACTCCTCTCCCATGCTAATAGCGAAATTCACAATATATTTTAAACAAATCACCTCTAATTCTAAACGTGCCTAATCCTAGAGTACTATCATTAACTTTTCACAATATTAAATTACTACTCCCTATAATTTTTCGGTAACTTTTATTTATCAAAGACTTTTTAAGTCATAACAATAGTCTAAGGGACTTCAAAAAAAAAAAACAATAGTCTAAGGGAAACTATTCAAGGATGTAGACTTTTTCTGGCAGAATTGGTGTGCTAGTGTGCTGTCCAACATTGCTTTTTATTTCATTTTTCTTTATTTAATTCAGAAAGTCAGTAAGTCACTAAGAAATAAAAGATCTGGAAATTTCTATTCGAACTATTGCCTCCGTCCATTTTACGTGTCTCCTTGATTTTGACATAATTTTTAATAAAGTGATTGAAAAGGTAAAAGCTGTGATTGAGATTTGAGTATAGTAAAGTGAAATGTTGTGAACCACATATTTCTTTCCAGAAAGGTAAAAATGACACTTATTTTGGGACAACTCAAAAAGGAAAGTAAGACAGGTACAATGGGACGGAGGGAGTATTATTAATATTATTATTATTATTATTATTATTATTATTATTTGTAGTGTTATTATTGTTATTAATGTTATTGTTGTTTTAGTAGTCTTTTCGGTTTGTAGCATTTACTCTACTTTCATTTAATAAAAGATTTTTTTTTTCTCTCTTTTTATTTAAAAAAAGTTTTCTTTTAAGTTTAGACTTTAGTAATACATGTGGATGAAATATTTCTTTTTGTATTATGCATTGCTCAATTTAAATACTCGTAGTATACTAGAGGGCGTGAAAAGGTAGGATCGTTCTAGACTGTTTACAGTGTACAGTCCTGAAAAGGATGATTAATTCAGAATTGACCATAAAATACTTGGAAAATTGTGAAAAAGACCGTCAACCAGTTTAATTCAATGGCGGTAGTCAAAACTCCAAACCAAACATTTAATACGCAATTTCTAAAAACCATACGTGGAAAATAAATAATGAATTTTGGACGAGAAAATAGTATAGGTGGGTAAATAAATAGGAGTCCTAAAAAGGATGCGATAAACCATACCCCCACCTAACATTGGCACTCACAAGAATGTTGAGCTCTCAAGGTCTGGTTTTCGCCACCGCCATGGCGGTCTCCGCCGGCACCGTCATTCTCTTCGACCTTTTCCGGGACAAATACTACCCCGGCCACCACAACCAGGATTCCTCCTCCCCTGAAAACCCGCGGATTCTTAGGTCCTGTTTGGCTTCAGGTTCGTGAAATTCTTGATCCCTCTGATTTTAATTTTCCTCCCAAAATTGAATCTTTCTTTTGCATATATCCAGTTCTTGATTTTCCGACTATCCCGTATGATTAAAATATGAATGGTGTGAAATGATTAAGCAGGGGAGAAGAAGAGGAAGAAGGAGAAAAAGGTTAGCTTTGCAGAGGGTGTGAAGGAATCAATCCGGAAGGGGGAGGAATACCGGAGAGGCTTCCGGAAGGTCAACCGGCGGTCTTGCGGCGGCGTAGTGAACCGGGGAATGCCGGCAAATCACGCCGCATTGTACACCGGAGTTCTCAAGGATCGGTCTCTCCGGTTGGAGTATTCATACTGATCATCTTCTTCTTCAGAATTGATTTGGGTTGTGTATAGTTTGTTTCTAGTACATAGATCAGAAACATGGATTAGATACAGGTTTAATTTCTTTCTATTTTCTAAGCTTTTTGCCCTCATAATTGTATAGTGTTTCTCACAAAAATCATCGGTAATTCAGTATTTTCTCTCTGTTCTTAGTGTTATAATTAATTGTTCATAATTGTAAGTTTCAAGTCTGATTAGAAAAATTGTTCTGAAATTCAGATTTATTAAATACCCCTCCCCTCACCCTGTAAAAGTTTTGCATTTCATTTTAAACTCTCTCTCAAAATAAAATTGATAGTAATAATCTCAACTATTTGCGGTCCGCTCATAATAATCTCAACTATTGATTATTACAGAATAATCCCAACTTTAGGGACCTTCTGCCAATAATGGTCCCTACAAATAAATTCTTGTAGTTTCTAAAGTGGATGAGATGAGATATAACAAGTAATCCTTATAAATAATCTCAACTTTTAATTTTTACGCTTAATTTCTATTTAAAATTCACTTTTTATAGAGGTAATATATGGTCATGGACCATTATTGGCGGATAGCCTATATAGTTGGGATTATACAAAAATAATCAAAAGTTGGGATTATTTTCAGCGGACCGGCAATAGTTGGGATTATTATTTTCAATTTTTCCTAAAAAGAATGTTTCGTTTTTAGATAATTATTTTTACTTCTAATTCCTTGCTCATCCTTCCTTCAAGAGTTCAAGTATTAATCAACAACTTTGACATTTCAACTTTATTTCTTCAGTTAAATTGAATAGTTGCTTAGGTTTTTATCTCACTTTTGTTATTAATATACTAGCCCAAAAATTTCATAATTATTGTTTTACGTTGGAGGTTATAATTTTTTTAAATTTTTTTTCTGTATGTAATAAATACAGTCATTTGTACAGTTGTTGTACTCACAATGTTGCCAGATTGTTTCATATAAATAGATTTCTAAAAATAACATGGTATCGTCCCCATTTTGGCATGTGAGTCTAGCTTGCGGAGGGCGGAGTGAGAGATAATCTCTACACTTTTAAGAGTGTTTGGATCTACGTAGTATTTTTTAAACTTTCTGCTCCATTAGATAATAGAAATAGATACTACTACGTATTACTCGGTATAATATTTGGGCAGAAGTTTAAAAGTCCATTCAAGTGTATCAAAATTTTTTGGAAACAGTTTTTTGAAACTAATAGAGCCATAGAGGTCAGCTTTTCAAAAACCAGATTCTATTTTCGCTTTTAAGAAAAAGTAGAAACTAATTAATTGCAAACACACCTTTATACTTAAGGTGGGCTTAGTGTTTGTTAAAAGCCCGAATACTCAAATTTATACTACGAGCCTGTTTGGTAGCACGAAAATCGGGTGATTTGGTTGCTGAAATTTCTGAAGTTCTGGCTGAAGTGGCTGCATTGGGTATTCTGCCGATTTAAGAAAAAACTATTTAAAAAATATATTTTATTAATAAAATAAAGAAAAAATTATATGTAAAAATAGCTAAAATGGTCATCTACAGTAACTTCAGCCAATACAGCCAGAAAAGTAACTTCAACCTTACTTTTTCTGCTCATTACACAATTCAGCGCGCGAAAGAAAAAGTTACGTGTTTGGTGAAAAAGTTGGCTGATAAGCTCGATAAGCCGAAAAACAGTGGTTCCAAACAGCCTCTACATATGTCCCACTAAAATTGGGATAAGAGACGGTAACATGATTATCAACAAAAGTGAGTTTTTGCGACTGATATTGAACTCATAAAGTAAGAATAACATAAAAATTATATAGAGCTACACAAATATTTACCAAATTAGATATGTGACAATCTAAGGTTTTGTTTGCAACCACTTGTGCTTAAATAAAAGCACTTTTGGGGAAAAAATGATTATTAGTAAAAGTTGGTAGTGTTTGGTAAAATAAGTGCTTTTTGTGTAATAGAAAAAGTAAAAAGTAGATTCTAAACGGAAACCGAGAAAGTAAAAGTTGGTAGTGTTTGGTAAAATAAGTGTTTTTTTTCTTAAAAAAAAAGTTAAAAGCACTTTTTTAATGAATTGCAAACAGACCCTAAGTAAATTTTCACGGAAAGAATAAATGAGACAGTTTTAGGGAGTGTTTGCAATTGCTTCAACTTTAAAAAAGTGATTATTTGAAGTGATTTTGGGAAAAGTGATTAATAGTAAAAGTTGGTAGTGTTTGAGAAAAAAGTTATTCTGAAAAAATAAAAGTTGGTAATGTTTGGTAAAATAAGTACTTTTTGTGTAATAGAAAAAGTGAAAAGCAGTTTAAAGCACCCTTCCAACTGCTTCCAACTTTTAGCTTTTAAGTGATTAATTTAAGCAGAAGCTGTCATTTGAAAACACTCTTTTTAGCTTTTTTTAAGCCAAAAGCTGAAAAGCGCTTTATTTAAGCAACCGCAAACACTGCCTTAATGGGAAGAGTATTATTTTGAGACAAAAATTGTTCTAACGGATCATGCAGGGGTTTCTTGCATTCCAGATGAGAACAACGCCTAGGTCACATTTATTTGTGTCCAAAGAAAAATTTCCCTAACTTTGATACGGAATATTAAAAACGAAATACTCTCTCTATCTCTTAAAAATTTGTCAAGTTTGACCAGTACGAGAATTAATAAATTAAAAATTGTGTGATTGAAATTTGTGCAGAGGAGAACGAATTAACTTGAACCATAAATTATTTAGTTAGAAGTAGAAGTGACAAAGTTAGTGGGACGTCCAAAAATGAAAAGTTGACAAACTTTTAAGGAACAGAGAGAGTATGTTTTAAGGAAATTTTTATAGTGTAGAGCCCTGCCTATTTTTATTCAAAATGTCTTCGCTACTTGCACAATATTTGAAATTTTGAATTTACTACTCTTTGAGTTTACACAACGAGAAAAAATAATTTAGATTTTATAATTGTATGCTCTAGAAAAAAAATTGGTACATTAAAGTTTAAGAAATGACAAATTAGGAAATTATTTGATAATAAAAAAGGTTAAATTGTTATCGAATTATTTGAAGATGAAAAGTACAAAAGTTATACCGTCGTCAATACTTTTAAAAAACGATGAGAACTAAGGTATACAATTAAAAATGAGGTATTGTACATTCATTCATATGATTGGTTCAATGCATGATATCATTTTTAATCTTCATTTAAATAATTCAACCACGATATTTTAATTGGTCCAAGTGAACAAATGTGTATCTTATGAGTACCATAGAATTTACCTTAACTTGTTAAACTGCATGAATCTTGTCAGAGTTAAAATTATTTGTTGAATTACTTTTATATGTTTATAATCCCATTTTCTAGGTTTACCTTGAGGATGTCGAAAGGATGCACCATGGAAAGATTTATTCTATTTCTCATCTTTTAATTATACTGTAAATATTAGACAAATTATTTCAGGTCACAATATTTAGCTTTAAAAGTCTTTGATTTCATGAAAATCAATATAACAGTCCTTAAACAATATATCTTCTACTAAAGGGTGTCCTAATTAGGATTCTGTGGGATTTTAAAGGATTGTTAATATTCCATAGAAACTAGTTGTCCTCAATGTGGACTCCCGTGATATCTAGCAAAATCCCGTGTTCCTCAAAATGTCCTTGGATTGTTATGGATTTTAAACCTAAAAATGCAAAGAGAAGAATATTGTCCAAAACCTCTTCATATCCTTCGGATTTCGACGGAATATATGTTGTGCGGCGGAATATATGTTGATATATGTTACCGATCAATCTCCTCTCCTTCTTCAGCTATGGAAGTTGGGCTTTGGGTTGCCTGTAACACTTGAGATTAAATATAAACGGATTAATAGTACTACTCATACCAACAGAGGTGCATCTCCTTTTAAGGGAGCTCATTACCCAAGAACTCCAAAGTTAAGCGCGCTTACACGGGAGTAGTCTTGGGATGGGTGAGGACAAAGTGCGCGGTAAAGGCTCGTGATGATTTGTGAGGACAGTACTAGAGGTCTGGAGTAACTACCTCGGGTCCTGCGGGGCCGTGGTGTTACATGGCCTTAAGGCATGTCAGAGTTTGATCCGTGCTCTTTAAAGACTACAGGAGTCTCAGTAGGGTAACTGCGGAATTGCCACACTTATGCAACCCGTCCAAGATTCATTCTAAATTGATTTCAATTGCGGAGGAGGCCAAAGCGGATGCTATTTCGAAGACAGCATCAAACGGCGAAGCAGGTAAACGTGAGAGAAGTTAGGGACTTGGTGGAGGTGGCAAGAAACCTATGTGTTGAAACCGTTGAGTATTTTCAATCCCATGAAATCCAACAGATTCTAGGCTGAGGATTTTCAATTCCATGAAATCCAACATATTCTATTCAATTTCATTAAAATCCATTAAAATCTTAATCCTTTAAAACCATTGAAATTCTAAATGAGGACACTCCTTAAATCTAAACTTGGGACACTCCTTAATCATTCATCACCCATTAAACTTTACAATTATAACATATTTACTTCATGATCATGTTCAACATCAACAAACTAAACACATCGAATTTTTTTGTCATTTGATTAGTGAAATTAAAAAAAAATACACTAATTAGACTTGTTTCTATTAAAAATACTTTCCAACTTGCACCTATTTATACATAAGTGTTGGGAAAATCTTTAATGAAGTCACTGCATGCCAAGACGAATATGTGTTAATTATACATATAATATTAGAGTATAAAATATTGTATATCATGAAGAACTTAGCTGAATCTACTACTGAAGAGGAACTCAGGAATGTTTTTGGCGAGTTTGGTACCCTCACAAGTGTAGTTGTTAAGAGAGACGATGATGGGAAATCAAAATGATTTGGATTTGTGAACTTTGAGAATGCTGATGATGCGGCTAGATCAATGGAAGTGCTTAATGGCCACAAATGTGATAATAAAGAGTGGTTTGTTGGAAGAGCTTAGAAGAAATCTGACGGAGAGATTGAATTGAAACACCGTTTTGAAGTTTGAACATATTGCAAAGGAAGAAGTCGACAAATCACAATGTTCCAATCTCTATTGGTGATGATGCATCTAAAGCGTTGGCCGAGATTAATAGTCAGATGATCAATGGAAAACCTTTGTATGTTGCCATTGCATAAGGAAAAGAATATGGACGTACATGATCACAGGCTCAGTTTTCCCAGATGCGCCTGATTGCAATTGCACCTTCAGTTGGTACTCGTATGCCCATGTATCCCCAGGGTCCCCCAGGTTTAGGGCAACAAATCTTTTATGGCCACCC